AACACAAGTGGTTTCCCTGACAACTGGATTAATGAAAACTTGCTGTGTTTTGTTTAACACATTCTCATATTCCTATGTGTCAATTCAGTTTGTTCGTTTTGTTTCTTTGAATCTGTTGTGACTCACTTTTGACGGATTCCTTCAGAGAATTTTGACAGTAGACTGAATTCCCTCTAGCATTACATTAGGTTTAATGTTTATATTTTCAGCATGTTCAATATTTTAAGGAGCTGAGGAAAATAATATTTTTTGTCGGAGAGTACTATTGAGGAGAACACTACATACTGGAGTTTACTGTGTAGTTCTTTCCCTGGTGTGGTAAATAAATGTTCCACTGGTAGGCGCCAGTGGACACGATTTGACTTGAAATAACAGTCTCATGGCATTCTCTCCCCTCAGCTCAGAGAAACACAATCACTCTCTAAAAAGAGCGAACACTGACTTATCTTTAAAGCCTCTGTTTTTGCCTATATTGTCTGTTTTGGAGAGTCAGTTGTCTTTTACCTGCACATACAGATCACTCATGAGCTCAGAACTTAGTGTACGGATTTGTTCAGTATAACCCTTTTTCATCTCTCTCTCTCTCTCTCTCACACTTTTAACACATCTCCTTTGACACTTACTCCTACTTACCCTCTTTTGCTACATATATCTTCACTCCCTGTTTTGTGTATGCCTTTTTCTCCCCCCCCCCCTCCCCTCGCTTTCTGTCTCTAGTGAGTTCGTGAAGACTGAATATGAACTAACTATGTTGTTGTTGTTTTCTGTGTTTTTCATCCACAGGCTCGGAGGCATCATATCTTCCTACAAAATAGTCCCAGATGAGATCGACGAGATTAAGGTGCAGATCTCTCTCTCTCTCTCTCTCTCTCTTACACCCCCCCCCCCCTTCTCTCTCCCTCCCTCCCTACTATCTCTCCCCTCTCTCTCTCTCCTTTCTCTCTACTTTAACTGCATGCTGCCCACTAGAGCCCACCTCAGGCTGTAGTTCAAAGGTGACACCATTTTGGATTCTCACATGTATTCTCTCTCACTACATGAAACAACTGTTGTGGTTTGAAACAACTGGTGAGACTACAACAAACAATTGTTACAGCGTTCTATCTTGGAAAGTTGTTCCACACAATGGGTGAATCTCAATTGTCTTTCAATGATGCCTCGCATCCTCTCTCCTTGCCTCCTTCTCAAAACACAGAGGACAAGATCTCCAAGGTCTTCAACTCCAAATTATTTTGAGAAAGAGGCGAGAAGAGAGGACGCGAGGAATCAAGGAATCAAGGAAAGATAATTGAGATTCACCCAGTGCTTTAGAGATTCACCCGCCTCTGTTGTCTGTATGATTGACACTGCTCCCAGCCAATGGGGTGGTAATTTCTGTGATTTACACTGCTCCCAGCCAATAGCTCTGCTCTGTTTCCTCAGGAGACATTGGTGGACTGGTGTGATGAGAAGGAGCTGAACCTGATTCTGACCACCGGGGGAACAGGCTTCGCCCCTCGTGATGTCACTCCCGAGGTACATGGGGACCCCAAAGTTTGTGTTTGTGTCCATGTGAGTGTGGATGAGTGTCGACCCTAGATGTAGTGTAAGCCGATGTAGCTGTGATTGCGCGTGTGTGTGTTGGTTGGCACCTGCATGCATGGTCAATGTGCATGTTTATCTGTGTATTGTGTTTGTCAAACCGTAGATTGTCTTGTGCTTTGTCAGGTTTGTCACATTACAGATAAATACATTATTTTGTTCCACTCTGTTGTAATTCCATATGATGCATCTTGCATATTTTGTAAATGTGTGTATGAGTGTGTCATATTTTATGGTTGTTGTGAGAGTGTTTTATTTTATGGTTGTGCATGTGTGTGCGCGTGTGTGTGTATGTGAGGTAGAGGCAAGCGCTTGTGACTCCCTGGGGATTACTGCTGGCTGCTGGCTGTGAATGTCGTTTCTCTCTCTCTTTCTCTCCCTCCTTCTCTCCCTTTCTCTCTCTCTCCTCTCTTTCTTTGATCTGTCCTTCTCTCTTTCTCTTGTTTCTTTACTAATGTGCATGTTTGAAGTGTCATTCAACTCGAGGGCACACAATGTCACTATTCTTAAATCAATTCCACTCTTTTTTCCTGCTGGGATAGAACGAACAGGGGCTGCTAGAGGGCATTTCTGCCTAGAGGATCGAGGGGTTAACAGGGGGTTACACATACACACAGGCACACACACACACACACACACACAGGCGAGGGGGTTTGAGATAAATAAATAAACATCAGGGATTAAAGGAATCACTGTTCTAAAACATGCTATCTGCCTGTCTGTCTGTGACTCATGCTCATAGTAGTAGTTACCCTAGTCACTAGGGTATTAGCAGTGGATGTGGCAGTCGTATACTGCAGTGGATTAGGCAGTAGCTGTTGATTGTCCCTAACCCTGCTATACTGTATGGACATGTTATGTAGTGTGTAGGTAGGTGATGACAACTGTACTATGCACCGTGTGTGCCGTACAGTAAAGTAATGATGCGACACCCCCCCCACTCTCTCTGCTCCCTCGCCATGCCGCAGGCCACCAGAGAGGTGATCGAGCGCGAGGCCCCAGGGATGGCCCTGGCTATGCTGATGGGCTCTCTCCAGGTCACACCTCTGGGCATGCTCTCCAGGCCTGTCTGTGGAATAAGAGGCAAAACCCTCATTATCAACCTACCTGGCAGCAAGAAGGGCTCACAGGTAAGATCTGGTGTGCGCGTGTGTGTTCAAGTTTTATTTGTCACATGCACAAGTACAGTGAAATGCTTAACTTGCAAGCCCTACCCGACAGTGCAGCATTCAATATAAAAAAGTGTAACTAATAAGAAAATATTAGAAATAAGAGGGGAAGCTATATACAGGGTCAGTGCCAGTACCAAATGTACAATGTGCAGGGAAACTGGAGTATTGATATGTACATGTAGGCAGATAAGGAGAAAGTGACTGGTAGCAGGATTAATAATAATGATAGTTATGGCAACAGCATAAGTGGTGGGTGGGTGTGTGTGTGGTGATGAGTGTGTGTGTGGTGATGAGTGTGTGTGTGGTGATGAGTGTGTGTGTGGTGATGAATGTGTGTGTGGTGATGAGTGTGTGTGTGGTGATGAGTGTGTGTGTGTGTGTGTGTGTGTGTGTGTGTGTGTGTGTGTGTGTGTGTGTGAATGTAAGTGTGAATGTGTGTGTGTGCAAGAGTGTCAGTATAGGCGTGATAGACAGATATACATGTAAAAAGGGCTGAAAAGTGACTGGTAGCAGGAATATATAAATACTGTACTATACTAATGGTAATATATATGTAAACAGGAGTATGCGCACGAGTGTGCATGCATGTGTGTGTCTGTGTCTCTGTATGTGTGTGTGTGTACATGTGTCTCTCTGTGTGTGTGTGTGTGTGTGTGTGTGTGTGTGTGTGTGTGTGTACATGTGTCTTTGTGTGTGTGTTTGCGCCCATGCCATACACCTGCTGTGTATTACTCTCCTTAACCTCTGACCTCTAACGCTCTCCTCCTACAGGAGTGTTTCCAGTTCATCCTGCCCGCTCTGCCCCACGCCATTGACCTGCTGCGTGACGCGGTGGTGAAGGTGAAGGAGGTTCACGATGCCCTGGAGGACCTGCCCTCACCCCCACCGCCCCTCTCCCCGCCCCTCACCCTCAACAGTGTCGCCTGCACCCAGACAGAGGAAAAGGTGACACTCTTTGGCTCTCCTGTGTTTTTTTATTTCACGGTGTAAGAAAGGGGGGGAGAAAGAGGGAAGGAGGCATAGAGAGAGAGATTGGTGGGTTTGTATTTTTACATAAGGTTTAGCGATTTGTGTGTGTGTGTGTGTGTGTGTGTGTGTGTGAGAGAGAAAAAGAAAGAGGGTGATCTAAATCTCCCACCCTTGAGAATACAGGTGCTTGGCTACCGTATGATAAAAGGTCCACGAAGGGGACACCTGAAATATTGCTGCACCCGAGTGCTTTATTCCTGCACCATAATCACAACGTTTCCACTTCACAGAAGACTTCATAGCAGTACTTCGTTTTGATCATTATAAAGCTGGTGTGTTTACCATGCTACTGTAATTGTCTTTTATCAATTGTTTGAAGTTATTTTATGAAGTACAGCACCTTAAATTGTGGTTTTCTGCACGAATTGTTCTTTACTAATAAAGTTTATTATTATTCTAAGGGTGTGCAGTGCGAGGATGATGAAGATGAGAAGACGAAGGACATTGGGGTGGCGTCCACCGAGGACCACCACCACCACACCCACTCCCACCACCGCCATTCCCACTCCCACGGACACAACTCGCACATCACCGCCGCCGCCATCGCTGCCAAGGTAAACACACTGTGAACACACAGTGTAATAATGTACTGTGTTGTAGGCTATGAATGTTACATGAAGGACACTGGGTTAGTGGTAGGAAAAGCCCTGAATCTTAGTTCGTTATATTATGATTAGTGCCATGGTCAGTTTCTCATATCCTAAAGGCCTTCATCAGAATGAATCATGATTATTTGAAACTGAGATGGAGGTTAAGCACAAAAAGAGGGATCGAGGGAGGAGTGGAGAGAGGGAGTGAAGGGGAACGGGGTGAGTTGGAGGTGAAGAGGAGACAACATTGAAACGAGAGAGGGAAGAGGGAAGGATTAGTGAGGTGGAGAGGGATTTGAAGCTCATTAAATGCATGTATTGTCTGTTACATTATTATCCCCTGTCCCTGTTCACTCCATTACTGCACATGTATAGATCCATCACCATTGTGATGTTGTGATACGTCACTCATAAATCCATGTGTCTAAATGCCTGTTTGTGTGTGTTTTGAATGCACGTGTGTATATGCCTGATTTGTGTGTGTGTGTGTGCGTTTGAAAGCATATGTTTGTGTGTGTATGCCTGTTATGTGTGTGTTCATGTTGTTGTCCCATCCTGTGTTGACCCCATGTACCATATCCATCACCAGAAGGGGAAGCCCCAGCAGCACCATAACCATGCTGTTGTCATGGCAAAAGGTAGCCAGTATCTACCTGGCCTGGTATCTGACCTACCCCCCGCCCCACGTAATTTCACCTGCTTCTGCTCTGGAGACCAGCCGGTAACGGTAAGACCCCTCACAACCTCCCACCCACCCTCATGTCACACGTCACCCCTACATCACATACCAGTGTACTCTGCACGGCACCTCTCCCATAATTCCTTCCTGCAAACACCATAGATGAATCTCAAAAGTACTCGATCCCATCCTCTCCCCACCTCCTTCACAGATCTGACTAGGGGAATCTTGGGAGGGGAGAACGCGAGGAATCGAGGAAGGACTTTTGAGATTCACCCCATCTTGTATAGGTCAAAAAGTGTGGTGTATCGCTAGGTGGAGCCAAGGCAATGTTATTAGTGAAAGCTGGGTTAGCCTGTGTTGCTAATTAGCAGAGTGGGGTTCAGTGCTGTGCTGCCAGTAAAGCTTATTGTCTTAATTAGCGCATCGCTAAGCCCGTAGCGCTCCAATGGAAACCCCTTGTAAATCCCACTGGCTCTCCCAGGGCCTGTTAGCACTGCTTGAATGAGCCGCACGGATCAGTCGCAGATCCACACATCCACAGCAGCAGCCCTGGGGGGAAACTGTGGGCCTGCCTGGCCTGCTTGTCTCCTCACAGGCTCACAGTGGGTCTGTATCTGCAGCCATACTGTGTATGGTACACACACAAGCGTGCGTCGCACACACACACACAGGGTTTAACATGCGTCTGGGGCATTTGTCTAATGACGCTTATAATGTATTCATGTTGTTACAGTTATTAGAAAAGTCTGACTTGCCAATCAGAAAACAGATGATCTGGAGTCACCAAAAAACATTGACTGACTGACCAATTTGTGTGTGCTTTCGAGATGTCTTTTATATCTGTGTGTATAGTAGAGATTACAGTGCTGTTTGTGCACACAGCTTTCCTATCTGTTCCTGTGTGAGGATGAGATAACTACTCGTGTGTGTTGTAGTTATTACTAACCTGTTTTCTTTGTCGGTATGTGTGTTGTAGATATCATTAACTTGCTCTCTGCCTGTGTGTAGTAGTGGATATAACTGGAAATACATTCTCTCTCCATAGATCCCAGACAGCATCATCTCCAGGGGTGTGCAGGTTCTTCCTAGAGACACAGCCTCTCTGAGCACCACGCCCTCTGAGTCGCCCCGCGCACAGGCCACCTCGCGCCTCTCCACCGCCTCCTGCCCCACACCCAAAGTAAGACACTTCCTGTGCCCTATACTTACACCTACCCCACTGCCCATCCATCTATCCCTCCTGTACCCTATACTCACCCAGCCTCACCCAGTCCTCTCACCTCCTAACCCTCCCTCCCTCCACCTCGCTGCCTCTTCCCCTGCCTTCCCCCTCGCTCTGTCCCATCGATGCTGGGAGGTGAAGGCATATTGCTCCTCAACTCCCTCCCTCTCCTCCATGGTTTTAGGGGAGGTCCTCTATTGGATCCCTATGGTTCCGTAACTCTTGAGATCATGTCCAGAATGTTGTCTCTTGATTGGTTGGAATTATAGGCTCCTCCCCTTGACCTCGATTCCATCCTATCCCCATGCTTCGCTTTAAAATTTTAACATTTAATTTCTTGACCGTAGAAACGTCCTGTAATTGGTCAGAGCACACAGAAGGGCGGAGCAATGACCTCAGCTGGAGTGTCCCATTAATTATTTGATTGACAGGTGTCATGATGTCTATCTGTGTCAAACTGCACTGTGACTCTGTGGAAACAAAGAAACCAACCAAAGACTTGACATGCATGTTGCTGCTGTTGTTTTCATGTCCTAACGCTAACCCCCCCGGTTGAGGTGCCTTGCCTAAGTAATAAGTGATCTAAACTCTTCCTTTATGTTCCTAATGTTGATTAACGACTTTATTGTGGGCTGTGTTTTGGTTCAGGTGTTTCTGGGTCTTGTGTAAGTGATCTAAACTAAGTAGACGTGATCTTACTCATTACTTACCATGTTTGTAATGATAATGAATGGGCTTAATGTGTATAGTGCTCTGGAGAAGTTGCTTCTTCAGGAGTTTTGGGGTCTGTCTCAGAGTTGCTGTGATTAGAAAAGATGCCTGTGTTCTGTTCCTCACAATGTTGCTGAGCTAAGAGAGTGGAGGAGTGGTATGGGAAAGGGGGGGGGGGTATAACTTGACTAGATCAGAATGGTTGGCAGACTTTGTCTTTCACCACTAAGCCCATTCTCATCATATCATGTTTTTAACTGGTAGGTCTGTTCTGTGGAGGATTGTGGCTTGCCAGCCACTGTGATCATACCTTCATTCCATTATACTGCTCTGATCGTAAGGCAATATGACAGAGTCTGTCTTGAGCTTGTGTTGAGTTTGTCATCCACCTGGTGAGGTGTGTGTTTCGTAGGGAAAGGCTGTATCAAGCAAGGGGAGCTTCTCTTTTTAGTGGTTTGTTTCTGTGCTTGCTTACATGTTTCTTTCAGAGTGCCCTTCCCTTCCCCTCACAGCCCCATAAGGCCGCATCAACTGGGTAAGAGAGTGTGTGTGTGTGTGTGTGTGTGTGTGTGTGTGTGTGTGTGTGTGTGTGTGTGTGTGCTTGCAACAAGATCTCATAGTTTCCATTTGAAATTCAACGTATTATGGATGAATGTCTATTTTTGACACATTCATTCCTTGTAGTTTCAGGGTTAATTCTGCATGGTTACAGGGGTGGCAGGTAGCTTAGTGGGTAAGAGCGTTGTGCCAGTAACCGAAAGGTCGCTGGTTCTAATCCCCGAGCCGACTAGGTGAAAAATCTGTCGATGTGCCCTTGAGCAAGGCACTTAACCCTAATTGCTCCTGTAAATCGCTCTGGATTAGAGCGTCTGCTAAATGACTAAAAAAATTATTTTTTTATGTTAAAACAGAAACAACTCAAAGGGTTAAGTTTAGGGATTCATTCCGAGTGGTTAAGGTTAGGGCTATGATTTGGGGAAGGCTTAAAACAAAATAATTAAAAATGACACACTATTACCATCAGGTATCATCAGTATTCTCGCGGCTTGCTAAAGCATTGTGAACTGCCGTAGCGCGGTGGTCTAAGCAACGCACTTCGGCTCCGAGCATCACAAGTTTGCTCCCAGTGCTGGGCAATCTTTTTTTTATTTTTTTTTATGGTAAACGCCGAGGAAGCATATATCGACTTTCTCAGGACCTTTTCAAATGTCCGAAATCGCAGTGTGTTTGTAGTGATCAATCTGGTGCGTGTGTGTATGTGTGTGTATGTGTGTGCATGTGTGTGCATACCCCATGCAAAGCAGTCCTAAACCTGCATCAATAATCCCTATAAATGTAAATTAAGTGCAGTTGTTGGTTGAGCCGATGCAGATAGGCAGAAGCATAAAGAGGCAGAGACCGAAAGAGCTATGCAGCACCAGGCAGCATCATCAGTCAAAGCCATAGTGTGTCGTGGACAGAATTCTGATGTTCTCCACAGCTCCCTCTGTTGGGGAAAGTGTGTACTGCACCTTGTAGTATGGAAGGGTTGGTTGTTTAGCAACAAAACCGACGCGTGTGCAACTATGGGGCAAAACAGACGGGTGTTGGCTTAGATTGTTGACAACATGTCAACTATATTTAGTCTCTAAATGTTTATTGAAAACATAAGTGCACAATGAGCCCTTGTCTCTCAAAATACATTGTTACATTTGTTGGTTAGCTAGCTAGTGAATTTTTTATTAGCATTGACATTAAATCAGTCAAAACACCTCAAAACAAGACATGATATCAATAAGAAGATACAACGAGCCACCTACGATTCCCCACATGGCAGCTTCTTGTCATTGTTGCTAGCTATCTGACCGTTCAGAATCATAACAATGTGCGGCTTCTGGCCACATCGATGCGCCCGCATCATTTTCGTGATATTGTCAGCCAACCCATTTATAATAAATTTCACTCCTTCACACTTAGGTGCCCTGTTTCTATGAAGTGATAGGATATGCACCTGGATGCTCCTCTTAACTTTTCCCCTCACTCATATCACACACTAATGTATGGTTTAATCCAGATTATTCCAGGTCAGGATTATTCTCATCTGGGATTAATCAAGGCCAGTTGAGAGATAGAGATGATCTGGGGTGAGTTTCCTGAGAGCTTCATAGCTAAGATTATCTTAGGTCCATTAGTAGGCAATGGAAGAAAAATTATCTTAGTTCTATAAAGCGTTCTGGGAGAATGGACCCTAGCCAACGCTGGTCAGTCAGTGAGTGGCGAGAGAAAAGAGACAGACCGACCGTTAAATCCCAGAGCGCTTAGAGTTGATTCGGTGACCCCTGTCCTACAGTTGCCCTATCCCTAATACTGTCTCTAGCTCTGCTGACATGGTCCTGTCCTACAATAGCCCTAGTGATTTCTTGGGCTGACTCTTTTCTCTGTGTATATCAATGATGTCGCTCTTGCTGCTGGTGACTCTCAGATCCACCTCTACGCAGACGACACCATTTTGCATACATCTGGCCCTTCATTGGACACTGTGTTAACAAACCTCCAAAGAAGCTTCAATGCCATACAACACTCCTTCCGTAGCCTCCAACTGCTCTTAAACACAAGTAAAACTAAATGCATGCTCTTCAATCGAACATTGCTGGCACCCGCCCACCTGACTAGAATCACTACTCTTGACTGGTCTGACCTAGAGTATGTGGACAACTACAAATACCTAGGTGTCTGGTTAGACTGTAAACTATCCTTCCAGACTCGCATTAAGCATCTCCAATCCAAAGTTAAATCTAGAATCGGCTTCCTATTTCGCAACAAAGCCTCCTTCACTCATGCTGCCAAACATACCCTCATAAAACTGACTATCCTACCGATCCTTGACTTCGGCGATGTCATTTACAAAATAGCCTCCAACACTCTACTCAGCAAATTGGATGCAGTCTATCACAGTGCCATCCGTTTTGTCACCAAAGCCCCATATACTACCCACCACTGTGACCTGTACGCTCTTGTTGGCTGGTCCTCACTACATATTCGTCGCCAAACCCACTGGCTCCAGGCCATCTATAAATCACTGCTAGGAAAATCCCCGCCTTATCTTAGCTCATTGGTCACCATAGCAACACCCACCCGTAGTATGCGCTCCAGCAGGTATATCTCACTGGTCATCCCCAAAGCCAACACCTCCTTTGGCCGCCATTCCTTCCAGTTCTCTGCTGCCAATGACTGGAATGAACTGCAAAAATCTCTGAAGCTGGAGACTCTTATCTCCCTCCCTAACTTTAAGCATCAGTTGTCAGAGCACCTTACCGATCACTGCACCTGTACACAGCCCATCTGAAATTCGCCCACCCAACTACCTCATCCCTATATTGTTATTTATTTTGCTCATTTGCACCCCAGTATCTCTATTTGCACATGATCTCTTGCACATCTATCATTCCAGTGTTAATACTAATTGTAATTATTTTGCACTATGGCCTATTTATTGCCTTACCTCCATAACTTGCTACATTTGCACACATATATATATATATATATATATATATCTTTTTTTTTTCTGTTGTTATTTTGACTTTATGTTTGTTTTACCCCATATGTAACTACATTTTACATTTACATTTTAGTCATTTAGCAGACACTCTTATCCAGAGCGACTTACAGTTAGGTCTGTGTTGTTGTTTTTATCGCACTGCTTTGCTTTATCTTGGCCAGGTCGCAGTTGTAAATGAGAACTTTTTCTCAACTGGCTTACCAGGTTAAATAAGGGTGAAATAAAAAAATAAATAAAAATAGTCCTAACCCTGTCTCTAGCTCTGCTGACATGGTCCTGTCCTACAGTAGCCCTAGTCCTAACCCTGTCTCTAGCTCTGCTGACATGGTCCTGTCCTACAGTAGCCCTAGTCCTAACCCTGTCTCTAGCTCTGCTGACATGGTCCTGTCCTACAGTAGCCCTAGTCCTAACCCTGTCTCTAGCTCGGCTGACATGGTGCTTTTTAAACAGAGACTGTCAACAGTGACAGATAGAGGGAGACACTGTGAGGGGAGAAGCCTGGTCTTGTGGGAACCAGGTGTGAAACAAGAAATACTGTATGCGGATAGGGTTGGATGGTGTGTCGTGTGTTTGTTATGGGTGCAGTGTTCGACTCAAGGTCAGCCCGTAAAACTCCTTCTCTCGTCTGTGTTTATGTGTATAGAATTTATGAGAACAATTCCTACACAGTTAGCTGTTTTTGTAATTTTATCAGTAACTTCCTATTAATCAACAGGATGACATTGTATAAATTGAATACAGTAGCTTACCATAGAATGAACAGTAAAATACCATACATTTGTTTTACAGCACACTGTGAGACCTTTCTGTAATTTCAACAATAAAACACTGTAAAATGCACAGTAAAATACCATAAATGTGTTTTACAGTATTAATTATGGTGCATTATAAGAAAATGTTGTGGGCGGGGAAAGAGTCTCTGGCTCATATTTTAAGGCGTGCCTTGTAAGAGGCTATATTTGTTTCACCC